CGACGCCGACGCCGACGACGACGACGACGCCGACGCCGACGCCGACGACGACGACGACGACGAGTCCGACGCCAACGACGGCGCCGACGCCGACGAAGCCGACGACGATGCCGACGCCGACGCCGACGGCGCCGACGCCGACGACGCCGACGACGACGACGACGCCGACGACGACCGCCGAGTCCTGGCCCCGCTCCTCCTCGTCTTCCTCCTCCTCCTCCTGCTCCTTTTCCTCCTCCTCCTCCTCCCCCTTCATCTCCTCCTCCTCCTTTTCCTCCTCCTCCTCCTTGTCCTCCGATCGCCCCGCCCTTGCGCGTCGCTTCCCGAAATCTGCAGGAAAGGCAACCTCCGCTACTAGGGGGGGGGAGGGGTCCTCCTCCTCCTCCTCCTCCTCCTCCTCCTCCTCCTCCTCCTCCTGCCTCAATATCCCCCTCATCCTCCTCGCCTCCTCCCCCTCCTCCTCCCTCCTCCTCCTTCCTCCTCCACCTCCTCCTCCTCAGCAGGAAGGCAACCCCTCGTCGTCCGTCGTTCCACCTCCCCCTCCTCCTCCCCTCCTCCTCCTCCGCCGCCGCCTCCGCAGGAAGGGCAAAACCCCCTCCTCCTCCTCCTCCTCCTACCTCCTTCTCCTCCTCCCTCCTCCTCCTCCTCCCCTCCTCCTCCTCCTCCTCATCCCCTCCGCAGGAAGGGCAACCCCTCCTCCTCGTCGTCGTCTGTCCCGTCGTCGTCCTCCTCCTCCTCCTCCTCCTCCTCCTCCTCCTCCTCCTCCTCCGCAGGAAGGGCAAACCCCCCTCCGCTCCTCGGGGGTGCCGCCCCTGCCGGCCGCCCGGGTGCGGCGCCGCTCCTCCCCGTGGGCCAGCCGGTCCTCGCCGCGGGCGGCGGGCCCCGCCTCCGCGGGCAGCCCCCTCGCGAGGGGAGGGAGACGTGGTGGGCTCGCTTTCCACCTCCACCACCACCAGAAGTTTTGGGGGGAGGGGGTCCTCCTCCTCCTCCTCCTCCTCCTCCTCCTCCTCCTCCTCCTCCGCCTCCTCCTCCGCCTCCTCCTCCTCCTCCTCCGCCTCCTCCTCCTCCGCCTCCTCCTCCTCCTCCTATGCGATTTCTGCAAATCGGCGCCTGGTACCTTTGGGCGTGAGCTTTATGATTGCGAGGCCCTTTGGACAGCGGACGAGGACCCTGAGTCATCCCCGCCCATGCCAGACGACTGCCTGGAGCACCGTAAGTGGCTGAAGGGGACGGCCTCTGGGCTTCCCCCGACTCCGATACGGTCGAGTTGGTGTACGGCCTTCCCCTTCGGTCGACTGTCATTGCGCCTGTCCCTCAGCGCTACGATTTTTTCGAACGGGGAGCTACGCGCAGGGAATGGGGGTACCGTGTCTACACAGATGGCTCGGGCCTCCACAGGAGGAGGTGGAGGAGGAGGAGGAGGAAGAGGAGGAGGAGGAGGAGGAGGAGGAGGAGGCGGAGGATGACTAGAGGCGGCTGGTCTGTAGCAGAGATCTCACCAGGAGGGTGGCCCATCCGCGCGCGATACGGTCCACTGGCAGGCAGTCGCCGGACCGCAACGCGAGCCGCCCCGCGAGCGGAGCCAGAGGCGATCCTCCAAGCGTTGCACGCTGCTTCTTGGGGCCCTGTCATCGTGTCGGATCACTTGTCGGCGGTGCGGGAGGGGAACGATTCGAGCAGCCTTCTGCCTGCAGGATCGGGGAAGCTTAAGTAAGGCCTGTCCCCCTACAGGGGGATTCTCGACGAAAAATAAAAATACCCCAAGCATGCCCCGAAAAGGTCAAACAATACTCAAAAAATAGTCTCCAGACTATGTCTGGACTGCTTTTTCTTTAAACTTTAAAAAAAGAAAAACTATTCTTGGAATATTTGCATTTTTCGTCGAAAATGCCCCTGTAGGGGGACAGGCCCGACTTAAGGGCAAGCGTGCCGCGATCTGGCGGGCGATCTTCCGTGTGCACGGAGGGCGAACCGAGCGGCCCCGTCTCGTGGGGACCCCCGCCCACGGGAACCCTCGAATCTCGGGTCGGGCGAAAGGGGGGATAGCAAAGGGGGGTTTGAGAATCAGCTCACGTAGCTGATTTTCCCGGCGCCTCCCGGCGCCGGAGGCGGCTATGTATCGAGGAATGGGCCCCTCGGTGAGGCCGAAAACAGCTGCATGCAGCAAATTTCGTACCCCCCCCTTTCCCAATCCCCCCCTTTCGCCCGGCCCGAGAACCGGAGGGCCACTGGAGGACCAGGCGGGCCCTGGGGCCGACGGGCCCCAGCAGGCTCTTGCCTTTTTTGGGGACACGCCGGGCCCGATCTCCCTCGCGCGGGTTGGGGCGGCGACGCGCGGGCTGTCCCCAGACCCCCGACGTCATGATTGTTTCACGACGCGACCCCCAGAGGTCCAGACCCATTCCCCGGGACCGGCTTCTCGTCCCGAGTCGCCTTTGGACGGCCCCGAGGCCCGGCGAGGGCCCTCATGAGGCCGAACACAGCGAAAGACCTCCCGTCGTGATGTTTGTCACGACTCGAGGAGGTGTGGGTCGGAGGAGGAGGAGGAGGAGGAGGAGGAGGAGGAGGAGGAGGAGGAGGAGGAGGAGGAGGAGGAGGAGGAGGGAGGAGGGAGGAGGGAGGGGGGAGCAAACTCCAGGCCGCGATGGAGCCCGTCGGCTCCCTGAGCCGTGCTGCGCAGGGCCCGCCGCGGCCAGCGCGCCGAAGGAGGCCCCAGCCCGCAGCTGGGCCGCGGGGGCCGCTCCCGCCCCAGCGGAGCCCGCCTGCTCACGACTCGGAGGAGGTGGAGTCTATAGGAGCGGGGGCGGGGGACCCAGACCCCCTCGAGCAATGAAACAATCGTGGCGGGAGGTTTTTCCTCATTTTCGGTCTCCGGGGGCCCTCACCGGGCCTCGGGGGCGTCAAAAAACGACTCGGGATGCGAAACCGGTCCCGGGGAAAGGGTCCAGACCCCTGGGGGTCGACGTAATGAAAAAATCATTACGTCGGGGGTCTGGGGAGTGAGGTGTACTTGGTGCCACTGCTCAGCGCGCACGAAGGCCCGCCGTGCGAAGCTCGAGCAGCCTGGCGCGATCTGCGGGCCCACGCCGCTACCACCCGTTTCTCTCGCCGGTGCGTGCGGCCAGGCGGGGCCGCGCTTTGCCGAGGGCTCGGCGCGAGGCCGCTCGCCACGCGCTGGAGCTCTGAGGGTTGGTAGGGGCCTCGCCACGGCCCTCGCCAACCTTTTCGCAGATCGGGCATGCGGTGGAGGCCGCCGAGTCCCACCTCGTGTGCAGGAGGTGCGGAGCGCGGGCTGCGATCGACGCTCCGCACCTCCGATCATTGCTGCAGCCCTGCAAGGGGCAAGGCCACCGCGGGGCCAGGCCTGGCACCGCGACCCCGTTCCTGCTGGGCGCGAGCCTCCCCTCCTTGGCGGAGACTGGGCGCCCTCTCGCTCGGCGGGTGTGGCGTCCAGGGCCTGCCTGGTGGGCGGCGCGCGCTTCCTCCGCATGGCCTCCGTGCCGCGGCTCGCCCTCCTCGGGAGGCCCGTGGCCGCCCGCCCTCCGTGTCCCGTGCGCCGCCTCCTGGCAACGAGCACGCCGCGGCGGAGAGCCGCCGCCGTGCCGCTGCCCTGCACGGCGTCCCTGCGTGCCTGGGCTGCTGCGCCCCGCCGCCAGGCCCCCCCTCTGCCTGGCCGACCTCGCGGCCACAGTTCGCTGCACCGCGAACGATGGACCCAGCTGGTCCCTGGTCCCTCCTCCGCCTCCTCCTCCTCCTCCGCCTCCTCCGCCGCCTCCTCCTCCTCCTCCTCCTCCTCCACCTCCTTCCCCACCTCCTTCCCCCCTCCTCCTCCTCCTCCTCCTCCTCCTCCTCCTCCTCCTCCTCCTCCTCCTCCTCCTCCTCCTCCTCCTTCCCCCCTTCCAACTTCTGGAAGGCGGGGCACGAGCAGGAAAAGCCTGCGGACATCCGCGCGGGTTATTCCTGGGTCGGCGCTGGGGCCCCCTCTCCCCCCAGGCCCCCTCTCGCGCTGCGACGGCCCCTCGCGTTATGAAACAAATCACGACGGGAGGTTTTTCGCTATCTTCGGCCTCTGGGGACCCTCACCGGACCTCGGGACCGTCAAAAAACGACTCAGGATGAACAACCGGTCCTAGGGAATGGGTCGAGACCGACGTCTTGAAAAAATCATGACGTCGGGGGTCTGGTGAAATCGCGACGGGAGACGTTCCCCTATGTTCGGCCTCTGGGGGCCCTTTACCGGGCCTCGGGGCCGTCAGAAAACGATCTGCAGGGTGGAGGCCCGGTCCCGGCGAAGGGGTGCAGACCTCTGGGGGTCGACGCTGCGGCAAAAATCGCGACGTCGGGGGTCACCTCCCGGGCGCCGAGGAGCGCGCCGGCGGCGCCGCCAGGGGGGCCCGGAGAGAAATCCGCGCGGGCGTCCTAAATGCTGCCCTCGTGCCGCTCCCAGACCTCCTCGAGTCATGAAAAAATCACGACGGGAGGTTTTTCGCTATTTTCGGCCTCCGAGGGCCCTCACCGGGCCTCGGGACCGTCAAAAAACGACTCGGGATGAAAAACCGGTCCCGGGGAATGGGTGTGGACCTCTGGGGGTCGCGTCATGACAAAATCATGACGTCGGGGGTCTGGGAGGCAGGAAGGGTGCCTTGGGACGGGGAAGATTTTGGTTACGGTTACGGGGGTGTTGAGTGCGAACATCTTCCCGGGAAGATTTTGGTTACGGGGGTGTTGAATGCATCTTGATGGCTCAAGTGTGTGGGGAATGGGTCGAGACTTCTGGGGACCCCGTATTGAAAAAATCACGACATCGGATCTCTGGGTCGTGCCGCTCCCAGACATGCGACGTCCTGGTTTTTTCGGGGCGGCGTCCCTGGCAGTCCCGACCCCTTTCCCGGGACCGGCTTTGTCACCCTGCGCCGTTTCCTGACGGCCCCAGGGCCCGGCGAGGGCCTCCAGAGGCCGAAAACGGCGAAAGACCTCCGCCCCGAATTTTTCACGACGCGAGCATGTCTGGGCTCATTCCCTTACGCGGCTCCTGCTCTTCAGCAGCGACCTGGTGCGGACCAGGGACATCTTCTGCCTCGCCTGGCCGGAGCAGGGGCGAGCCGGAGCGACGACCCCCAGCCCTGACTCCGGATCCGCCCTACTTCGGGGAAATTCGTAAGTGGGGCTTGGAATTTCCGCCTCACTTTTCAAGCCCCGGTGATGCCAGTTTCCGCCCTGCTTTTCTGTTGCTGTTTCCGCCCTGCTTCCGTGGATTTCCGCCCTATGCTATGTTGGGCGCAGAAATTCCCGCCCTGCTTTTTCGGCTTCTTATAAGTGGATTTCCGACGCAGTTTTAAGTTGGAAAAAAAGCCAAAGTAGGGCGGATCTGGAGTCAGGGCGGAACGACGACCCCCAGGGGCCCGCACGCACCAGCTTTCCGAGCTGCGTCAGGTCGCGGCGACGAGGGCCACCCCCCCCGAAGACCCGCCACCCCGAGATCCGACGCTGCGGAAGAATGGCCACGCCGTAAGAACATCGCGACTGGAGCCCTGCCCACACCTCCTCGAGTCATGACAAACATCACGACGGGAGGTCTTTCGCTATCTTCGGCCTCTAAGGGCCCTCACCGGGCCTCGGGACCGTCAAAAACGACTCGGGATGAAAAACCGGTCCCGGGGAATGGGTCTGGACCTCTGGGGGTCGCGTCATGAAAAAAATCATGACGTCGGGGGTCTGGGTGCGTCGACCTCTGCGGCACGCTTCGAGCCGGCTCCATCTGCGATGGTCCTGTCGGGGGCGGCCAAGAGGGGGCGTCCGAGAGGGGGGACGCAACTCGTGGCCGGCGGCAGGTTGGCGGCCCATATATATATATATATATATATATATATATATAGGGGAGGGCCGGGGAAGCAATGGAATAAAAAGAGGCGCCATGAAATCTGGGGAAATGTCATGGCCCACGCCATGATACCCACCCGCCCTAGTCTATAGGGGAACAAAAAGTGGCATAAACATAAAAACTCGGAGCTCCGCGCGGATTTCTCGGATCCACGCTGGGCCCCCCGGCGGCGCCCCGGGCGCCGCCCCTGGCGCGCTCCGCGCGCCAGGGAGGGGGGGTCCAGCGCCGATCCGAGAAGTCCCCAGACCCCCGACGTAATGATTTTTTCATTACGTCGACCCCCAAAGGTCTGGACCCTTTCCCCGGGACCGGCTTTGCATCCTGAGTCGTTTTTTGACGCTCCCGAGGCCCGGTGAGGGCCCCCGGAGGCCGAAAATTAGGAAAAACCTCCCGTCGTGATTTTTTCATTGCTCGAGGGGGTCTGGGTCCGCGTGGACCTCCGAGTTTTTATGTTGATGCCACTTCTTGTTCCCCTGTAGTCATCCCCCCCCGCTTCGCCGACCCCGATCTTGCAGGGGCCCCAGGGCCGGGCGAAAACGTCCGGCGCGGCACGCGCGCTGCCATATTATGGCAACGCCCGGGCCCCAAGGCACCCTTCCTGCCTCGAGCTCAAGCTCAGCCCAGACCTCTTCGAGTCGTGAAAAAATCACGACGGGAAGTTTTTCGCTATTTTCGGCCTCTGAGGGCCCTCACCGGGCCTCGGGACCGTCAAAAAACGACTCGGGATGAAAAACCAGTCCCGGGGAATGGGTGTGGACCTCTGGGGGTCGCGTCATGACAAAATCATGACGTCGGGGGGGAGGCAGGAAGGGTGCCTTGGGACGGGGAAGATTTTGGTTACGGTTACGGGGGTGTTGAGTGCGAACATCTTCCCGGGAAGATTTTGGTTATGGGGGTGTTGAATGCATCTTGATGGCTCAAGTGTGTGAGGGGTCGATCGTAACCAAATTCTTCCCGTTTTGGCTATGCGCAACAGTTTCGAGCGTGCCATATGATTCGGTTACGTACACTAGGGTCGCCCTCCTCGGCATGCGACGCCCGGATTTTCTCAGGGCGGCGCCCCCGGAAATCCCGACCCTTCAAAGTCCCCGGGGCCCGTTTTCCATCGGAAGTCGTTCCCGAGGCCCGGCGAGGGCCCCCCGGGGCCGAAAAAAATGGCCAGACACCTCCCGCCCTGATTTTTGTTACGACGCGGTCATGTCTTCTGGGGCCTGAGCTCGCGAAGAAATTGCTACATCGCGAAACATCGCGCCCGGAGCCCCAGACCTCATCTTTCTGCGTCACCTTGCGAGCCCGATCGATGTGTGAGGGTCCCGCGAGGCCCGAAATCGAGCGAAAACGCCCGGTTCCCAAAAAATGGCAGCGCCCGGATCTCAGGGGAGCCCGGATCCCAGGGTGCCCTTCCTGCCTGAGCCCGCCCTCCCCAGATATCCCAGACCCCCAACGTCATGATTTTTTCATGACACGACCCCCAGAGGTCCGGACCCATTCCCCGGGACTGGTTTTTCATCCCGAGTCGTGTTTTGACGGTCCCGAGGCCCGGTAAGGGCCCTCAGAGGCCGAAAATAGCCAAAAACCTCCCGTCGTGATTGTTTCATGACTCGAGGAGGTCTGGGATCCAGCGTCGCGGTGTTTTTCGAGACGCGGGCTCCCGACCTCTGGACCACTTCCCCGGGGCCGCTGCTTCGTCCCGAGTCGCTCTTGGACGCTACCCCGAGGCCCGCGGAGGGCCCCGAGAGGCCGAGCACGAGGACAACCCTCCGTCTCGATGTTTTCGAGACGCCAGGTAACTGGGCTCCCCAGACGTCATGGATTTTTTCATGACGCGACCCCCAGAGGTCCAGACCCATTCCCCGGGACCCGTTTTTCATCCCGAGTCGTGCTTTGACGCTCCCGAGGCCCGGTGAGGACCCTAGAGAGGCCGAAAATGGCGAAAAACCTCCCGTCGTGATGTTTTCATGACTCGAGGAGGTCTGGGAACTGGGCTCCTCTGGGCCTGCGCCCACCGCCGCCGGCGGTAGCCCAGGGACAGGATCCCCGCCGGGGCCGACTGCGTCTTGGGCTCCTCCGGGCCGGCGTCCCCGAGGCCCTGGCCGCCCGCGCCCACGGGCGCCGAGTCCTCGCTGACGCCGGGGACCTCTCGGCCCTCGGGGGTGCAAAGATGGGGCCCCGCACGACCCAGCCACCGGGCGTCTCGAAAAAATCGAGACCCAGACCCCCGACGTCATGATTTTCTCATGACGCGACCCCCATGAGGTCTGGACCCATTCCCCGGGACCCGAGTCGTGTTTTGACGGTCCCGAGGCCCGGTGAGGGCCCTCGGAGGCTGAAAATAGCGAAAAACCTCCCGTCGTGATTTTTTCATGACTCGAGGAGGCGCGGGGACGGAGGTTGTTTCTCGTGTTCGGCCTCTCGGGGCCCTCAGCGGGCCTCGGGATAGCGTCCAAGAACGACTCGGGACGAAAAAAGCGGCCCTGGGGAAGTGGTCCAGAGGTCGGGAGCCCGCGTCTCGAAACAATCGAGACGCTGGGTGTCTGGGGAGGGATGGCGGCCCTCGCGTTGTGAAAGAATCACGACGGGAGGTTCTTGGCTATTTTCGGCCTCCAGGGGCCCTCACCGGGCCTCGGGACCGTCAAAAGGCGACGCAGGATGAAGAGCCGGTCCCGGGGAAGGGGTCCAGACCTTGTGGGGGTCGACGTTCTGAACAAGATCACGACGTCGGGGGTCTGGGTGTGGGGGGTGGCGGCCCTCGCGGGGGTTCCCTTCGGAGCCCGTTCGGTGTCTGAGACCGTCCGTCCGCTGATCGGGCTCGAGGTCGAGCCCAGTCGGCGGTCGAACGGGCTCAATCCCCACGAGCCCGTCGGAATGGGGCCCGCCCGCACGGGCTCAGACGCCGAGGGGGCCCGGATGGGGAGCCCCAGGGCAAGGGCAGGAGCGGGACGGGATCCAGCGCTGGAGAGCCCCCACTGCTCGTGGCCCCTCGTCGCCGGGGCCCCCCACCGCAGGGCCCCATCTTTGCACCCCCGAGCCTCCCTGCAGGCGTCGGGGTCGGGCAGGGACCCCATCACGTGCCAGACCAGCCTCGAGTGCTTCCTCGCCGCTTCCCTCCCTCTCTCTCTCTCGGAAGCGGGGCAAGGGCTGCTACATCCGTGGCTGCTGAAATCGACCTCCAGGAAGTTGTCTCTTCGTCCTTCCAGGAAGAAGCCCGTTGACTGTTTCGCGCGCCGCGCCTCGTTTTTCCCTTCTGGGAGGGCCGTTTTAGCAGCCACGGTTTTAGCAGCCCTCGCCCAGCGTTCGACTCTCTCTGCTTTGCCCTCGGCGGTGCGCCGAGCGGTGCGGGAGTCTGGCGGCGGAAAGAGCGCAGCGACCAGCGGCGCGCGACGACGACGACGACGCAAGAACGACGACACGAGGACGACGACTCCAAACGTCACGGAACGGGGACGACGAGGACGATGAGGATGCCAAGACGGACGCCTCCCAACGACAAGAGGACGACGAGGTCGACGACGACGCCACGACGACACGACGACTCCAAGCGACACGAGGACGACGAGGACGTCACGACGACACGAAACGGCACAAAACGGCACGAGGGCGGCGAGCGCTTCCTCGACACGTCCTCCAGCTTGCGGAACACGTCGCGCTGGAAGGCCATCAAGCTCGCCTCCACCCAGGCGTGCACGTCCCGTGCCCATTCCGTGCCCCTCCCTGCGCCCTCCTCGTCTCTCTCCTCCTCCTCCTCCTCCTCCTCCTCCT